ATAAAGTACACTTTAATAAATTTTAGTAAATAAGTTAGGTTATATTGATTCTCTTCTTTTTTACTTGAATATTGTTTGGCCTTTCATACGAATCTGTACTTAGCCAGATACAGTTTTCCCTCCATACATTTTGAATCTGTATCTTTAGGTACTTAAAAGAAAAGATTCGGTTTATTTATTACAATTTTTATTAAAATTATAAAGGCTACTTTCAGTTTATACAAAAGGAGAAAAGATAATTTAATTTTACACACAGAAATAACTATTTGCGTTTTAAAAGTGATATTTTGTAAAAATGTTGCGTTTAAATGAGGGAAATTATCGGAGCCGCAATTGAATAAATGTTTTTCTCATTCGAGGGAGTAGTTTTCGTTGTAAATTTACTCATCTCAAGTCGTAGTCGACAGATTTCTTGGAAAATAGCGATGAGGAAGAGATATTAAATATTTCTTTCATTAGCCAAAGTTTATTAATTAAGGACTACTCGACAGACTCGCCCTCTTGTTTGCTTCGCATCGTCATCCCCGCTTCCATATAACCCTTTGGCGAAGTTTCTGACGAGATGAAGTTAAAATTGAAGTTGGAGGATACAAGACGCGAAACAAAATTAATTATGTATTTTGCGCTCCTACCGTTTAAACTTTTTGCATGACAAGAGAAAATTAAATGCTTGTTTGTTTTTTAGTAACAGCGACTTTTTTAAATATTTGCCGCGGAAAAGGGGCTGCATTTTACCCAAGCGAGATAATAAAAAGCGCTTTCTAATTATAGCATTAATAAGTTTTATTCCATTAATTGCATGCGTATAGATAAAGAAAAGAAAATTCCTCGATATAGTTTACGTGTGCGCTTTTCATAATTTTTAATGTTTGTGTGTGTTTATCAGAACTGAATCTAAAATTTATTTTGGAGAGGCTTACGCTTAATAAAAAGCTAGACGACTCTGAAACAAAAAGACGTGATCGCAACAACACTAACTTCGTTCGTGTTGCCTTTCCCTATCGTAATATTATGATAAATCATAAACATCGTCAAATAAAATTTCGGCATAGTTGTGATAACAACAGCAGTAACACTGTGGTTCCTCTAGTGCGATTAACCCGCCCAAGATGCTTAACAGAAAAGTAAGCTCAAGAAGACCCTTGTGTGTGATATTTGGCAGAAAATCTTTTCCAATTGAATGATTTCGCCTTAAAATTAAAAGATATTGCAAAGTACACCAAAGATTTCCTGTTTAGTTCTAAAATTACCAAAACGAAGATATGTTTATGGAAGTTTTTCTAATCTTCATATAAAAAGTGAAAGTTTTGGTTTTATAGTTTTTGACGAATTCGCGGTTTTTCTCTTTAAATAAATGTTTACTTAATACTTATAAATCTTTCAGCGCGGAAGTTAAACTATATGGTATGTTTTTAATGGCTCCTCTTTGTTTTGTGGTACCTACAAACGTGCTAGTTTTATAAATTCAAAATCATTAAATTGTAGAAATTCTGATTGAAATCTACCAACCCGAAAAAGAAGTATTTAAGCTATGTAAACTCCGACTTTTGACCTAAAAAATTAGTGAGTGCGGACTAAAAACACACTTCGTCATTTCTAAAACTGAAAACGTTCGATTCGGTTAAAATGGCCCCCGGTGACAATAAGAGATAACTTGGCGGTCCGCGTGAGACACATGCAATAACGAAGAACAATGTTTACACGATGTGACGTCATTATTTACTGTGCCGTTATTGCGCCACGTGAGCGTAAAAGCAATATCCTCGATGGTTACTATCGTGTGGTGTCCACCTTTGACGATAACGAAACCACAATCACAATCGGACAATGAACAAATTAATAATAGTACTCATACTGGTGTATTTTTGAAGCACATATACAGTAAAACATTAATAATTAGTAGGACCAATGCCATACGTTCAAATTTAACTCGGACTGTTAGGGGTTTTGAAGCTTCGTTCAGATTTTGTCTCTGTTTTTAAAACATTACGTTAAAACAAAATAATTCGAAGTGGTCTGTGTTTCGTCGAAACTGCCAGACGCGGATCGCGATTTCGATCTTTTTGGATCTCATCAGCGCGTCGCATTCAGCTCCGACTGAACACAGACCAACTTTTACCTGCTGTCTTAACAGCGCGTTTTAGATCCATGATGAGATCCAAAAAGATCGAAATCGCGTACCGCGTCTGGCAGTTTCGACGGAACACAGACCACTTCGAATTATTTTGTTCGATTATGGTAACGTGCCTATCACGTTGAGGTGAGCTACGCCGGGATTCGTTTCAGCAAGTAGATATCCATATTTTTAAATGGAACTTGTTGGAGCATGTGTAATCCTCAAATGTAGCATCGTACTACAGATGGCGCTCACCACGCCATTTGTAGTATTTTCTATTACGTTAAAAAATAGACATAACTGAGGTACACTTTAACTTAAATCCACCCCTGTAAATTAGTACATCACAAATAAAATTAAAGAAATATGCCAACAGAAAGAGCGATTATTTTCAGAATTTTGGCGGAGGCGCGAGGCATTCCGTTTTATCTTGTAACGGTCTTTCGGAGCACATTTTAAAGATTGCGTTTTCTGGATAAGAATAATAAGGACAAAAAGAATATTTAATTCGTTGAAAAAATCCTTAGTTTTTATATTTTCCACACAATGATGTGCCTATACGTAGATGTAATTACTTTTGATCGCATCGATCGTACCGTCGCTGGCGTCGGCGTCAGCGTCGCGCGGTTTGGTCAGCTAGCCAATTGGGGGGAGGGTGGTGGTAACGGCGAGAGTTAGTATTTGATTGATGAGCATACATTGTTTGGACAAGTTTCGTGGAGCCATGCAGCAAGCAGGCTGAGACCGGTTGGTGTAGTGTTTGCTCAGGGGGTGAACTACCACTACCTATATGAGGAGGTAGGCATGACGAACGCCCGATGCTTTTGCCTGGTAATGCACGAATGCTCCAGGATAGCGAAAGGAGATCATAGACAACG